ATTGGTGGGCCTTATTCAAGAGTTTGATGCGGAGAATAGAGAGAATGAATTCAAGAAAATTTACAGCAGGCTAATGCATGTCAAAAGCAGATTGCACAGAGTGGTAGCTGAGGGTCAGGACTTGAAATCAAAGAAACAAAACCTGATGTTTTTATTGAGTGGGTGTTTTGACGCCTTGCAGGACGCGAATCACATCGCCAGCCTTTGCCAGACTAGTGTTGGAGCAATGTGCACACAAAATGAATTTATTCATCCGGAGAGAATGGATGCTCCTGTGGGTAATTTGATAGATCTGGGAGGTGCAGCACCTGATCATAATCCTACTTTGGAGAGGCCGGTAGACTCTGGATTATCACGATCGCTCAATAATGATGTAGATTCCAACCTTACAGGGACCTCGTTTGGAGATGCAAGGAGGCGAATAACGGAATTTGAATTGCAGAATTTAGCTCAAACAATCAACCGTCGAGCCTGTACCCAGTTGGCCGATCGGTTGGCCGCATTTACAATTTGTCCGATTCCTTTTATGACTGAGGAGGCAACTTCTAGTACTCGTCGAGTATCATTTGCGACTAATCCTGACTCAAGCGCGGTACCAATGATCCAAACGTGCTCTCAATCCGGAGGAAACAGTACTTCTAGGCCAAATGGCAGCATATCGTTAATTACAAACCCAGTGAGTCACATTGGTGCACCGTCTCATGCAGGCTTGTCTAATGAGAGAGATGTGCCTCGATCCTCAGGATCATTCGTATCAATACACAAATGGAACGTTTTCTTTAATGGTAGTGGCAGTGTCACTTCATTTATTGAAGATATAGAGCATTTGGCGGAGTCAAGAGGAGTGACTGAAGATCAGTTGTTCCATTCAGCTTACGAAATCTTGAGAGGAGATGCACGAGATTGGTATACGCCCCGAAGGCGGTCGTTCCTTGACTGGCCCGATTTAAGACAAAAGCTCCGCGATGCATTTCTGCCTCTGAACTACGACGAAGATTTGTTGGACGATATTAAGAGACGTACTCAGGGTCAAGATGAACGATTGCTATTATACGTTACAAGGATGCAAAATCTTTTTATGAAATTGTCTTCTAGCAAACCGTCCGAGAGCGAGCAAGTTAACATTATTAAAAGAAATCTATTACCACACTTACAGGTAGCCTTGAGCTTTCAAGAAATCGCCACCATCGAGAGTCTTTTGGAAAGGGGAAGAGCTGCCGAGGAGATACACTGGCGCGCACAACAATACTGTCCCCCACCTGCGCATCCTCGTCTAGTGCAGGAACCTCATTTGGCGTATCGTCACCAAACTGCAAACCGTCCTGTTCAGGTCAGAGCGGTGGAGACGGCAGTCCAAAGTCCTAGAGCGCAGCCTCGCTATGATTTCCCAAAGAGACCAATTGAGTGTTGGAATTGCGGCCAGACGGGTCACAGACGATCCAGTTGTCCTCAATCACGTCGTTTACTTTGTTTTCGATGCAAGCAGCCAGGTTATACTATTAGAAACTGTCCAGAGTGCTCAAAAAACGAGACTCAGGGGAATTAAGTGGTCGGTTAGTGTCCCCTGTGAATGTTTCGACGACCGATAATGTACACACTTCTGCTTTTCTTCAGAAGCGAGCATTGATTGATTACGTAATATCCCATTCAAATCAGGATCAGAGACCGCATATAGAGGTTACCGTTTTGGGACATCCCATTCTGGGTTTGTTAGACTCTGGGAGTAGTGCCACTTTAGTTGGGAAGTCAGGTTATATGACATTGATGCATTTAGGTTTGAAGTTGGATACCTCTCGGAAAACGTTGTGCTCTGTTCCGAACGGAAATACTTGTCGGAGTATTGGATCCGTAAAGACGCCAATGTCCCTGATGGGGAGGGTGTCTATTATAGATGTTTTAGTGGTACCGGAGCTATCAAATAACTTAATTTTGGGAACCGATTTTTGGATTTCAATGGATGTAGTACCGAATTTGAAAAGGAACGAGTGGCGTTTTGGAGAATACCCTATGGTGGAGGTTTGTGGTATTACGGACGAGAGCACTTTGACTGAGGACCAACGAGAAAGATTGAACTCTTTAGTGGATGAAAAATTTGAAAGAATGAGCAAAGGTTTGGGGTATACTACAGTGGCGACTCATGAGATTGTCTTAGAGGAGAACGTTAAGCCCATTAAACAGCGATATTATCCCGTTTCACCCTTCAAGCAGAAGATCCTTGATTGAGAAGTTAAAAAAATGCTTGAAATGGACGTCATCGAGCCTTCTAAGAGCGCTTGGTCTTCACCAGTACTTCTTGTGCCCAAAGAGGACAACGCCTATCGATTTTGTGTAGACTACAGGGCACTTAATAAGGTTACTAAGAAAGACGCATACCCTTTACCATACGTTTCATCAATTTTGGACAGGCTGCGTGGAGCCAGATATTTAAGTTCCATGGACATTAAGTCGGCATTTTGGCAAGTGGGAGTGAAGAAGGAGTGTCGAGAGTATACCGCATTTACAGTACCACAACGGGGACTTTTTCAGTTCAAGCGAATGCCGTTCGGGCTTACTAACGCACCGGCAACTTGGCAGAGACTTATCGATGAAGTCCTCGGCTCAGATTTACAACAGTATGTTTTGGTGTATCTGGACGATATTATAATAATTTCTCCCGACTTTGAAACGCATTTAATCATTTTGGGTAAGGTATTTGATCGCCTAATGAAAGCAGGTTTAACATTAAGCCCTGGGAAGTGTAAGTTTTATATGCCTTTCCTTAATTATTTAGGATTTGTAGTTGACTCTAAAGGTCTTCATGTAGATGTCAGAAAAGTTGAAGCCATAATGACGGTTCCTCCGCCCAAGAACATTACAGAGATTAGGAGATTTCTAGGTATGGCTGGTTGGTACCGAAGATTTGTGCCAGATTTTTCCACCCTGATCGCGCCGTTAACCAAATTGACCCACAAGAATGCCTCTTTCGTCTGGGATAGCAATTGCGAGGCTGCCTTTAATCATATTAAAAATGCACTTGCCTCAGCTCCTATATTAACGTGTCCAGATTTCTCGAAACCATTTGTCCTTCAGACCGACGCTTCTGCTTATGGACTTGGCACTGTTCTGACCCAAGAATCGGGCGACGGAGAAAAGGTAATCTGCTTCTTGTCACGTTCGTTGACAAAACAGGAGCGTAATTATTCCACTACTGAGCGTGAGTGTTTAGGTGTCATTTGGGCTGTCGAAAAACTGCGCAATTATCTTGAAGGGAGCCATTTTACTATTGTCACGGACCATGCTTCACTCATTTGGCTTAATAATCTGAAAGACCCAACCGGAAGATTGGCCAGATGGGCTCTTCGTTTGCAACCCTATGATTTTGACATCGTACACCGAAAAGGGAAAGATAATGTCGTTCCGGATTTTCTTTCGAGAAGTGTCCCGATCAACGTGGAAGTTGTTAGTACGAGCCCTGAGCAAGTCCTTGATTTTGGCAGTAGTACTGATGCGTGGTATAGGAAGATGATAAGTAATATTGAGAGTCGACCGGAGCAATTTCCTCAATGGCGTGTGGAGAATAATATTGTATATAAATATGTAAAGTGTCCGATTCCAGAACTTACTGCGCAGTCTGACTATTGGAAGATTGTAGTACCCAAGGATCACCGAAATAAAATCCTTAGGAAGTATCATGACGAGCCCGTTTCCGGTCATGTTGGAACTTATAAGACTTATTGGAAAATTCATAATAAATATTTTTGGCCGAAGATGAGAGCAGATGTAAGGAAGTATGTTCGTAGTTGTCGCATTTGTGCCCAACACAAGCCGGAGCAAAAGGCCTCAGCAGGTCATATGGGTACACGACCTGAGATAAACCGCCCATGGCAAATGATAAGCCTTGACTTTATGGGACCATATCCTAGAAGCAAGAAGGGTTACTCCTACCTCCTTACAGTATGCGATTACTTCAGCAAGTTCGTTGCTCTGTGTCCATTACGGAGCGCTACTTCAAGCGCCCTGTGTCGTTTCGTGGAAGAGCAAATATTTCTGGTGTATGGAGTGCCTCAGTTCCTCATTTGCGACAATGGCAAACAAATGAGAAGCAAGGAATTTAAAGCCTTGTGTTCCAGATATCATGTGAAAATCTCGTATACCGCATATTACCACGCGCAGGCGGACCCTGTTGAGCGGTACAACAAGATTGTGAAAACCATGGTTTCCATCTATTTGGGAGAGAATCACAAAGAATGGGACAAAAATCTTGCTGCAATTGGATGCGCTATAAGAACTTCTCGAAGTGAAACCACAGGTTATACCCCGTACTTTGTCAATTTTGGACGAGAGTATGTCGGAGATGGTACCGAGTATCGTTATATGTTTAACAATGGTAATGATGATCGAGTTGAAGTACAGACCGAGATGAAAGCACGCGTAATAGGTTATAGAAAACTTTTTGAGGATGTCAAAGCCCGTATAGCTAGAATGGCGGACCGATCCCGTAGGTCGGAGATCGGGTTTGGAGGAAAAATAAAATTCTCTCCGACGCGTCGAAAAACCTCAATGCTAAACTTTGTCCAAAATTTATAGGCCCCTTCACGGTTTAGCGTAGAATAGGAGGTTGGACGTATGAGTTGACGAATAGTCAGGGTAGGTCGTCGGGTGTTTGGCATGTTAAAGATTTAAAACCTACTTATTTTGCTTCTGATGACGATTGATTTAGTTTTGGTGAACAACTGGTTTGGATTTACAATCTATTCTTCAGACAGTTGTTTTCGTGGGTTAGAGGTGGGTTACTTACTTATTAATAAGCACTGAAGTTTATGAATTTTCTGTCTCTAAACTTTTCAGTTGCTGTTTGAAGGCCGTACATCGATGCCTCACCAGTCTGTTATTCTTTTGACAGATTTGGTAAGCTTTTTTATATACTAAATCATATTGAGAGTGTTGGAGAGTTATCACCAACAAGGTAGGGCTCCTGCGAGCTCTCACCTTTTCTTTCCCGATTAGTGTCTTTGGTCTTGTTATGCCAGGTTGATCTTGCGCGGCCGCGTGCGTCGGTTTCGCTTGGTGGTGGAGGTGTAATCCTGTGGGCTGTTGTGAGGGCTAATACACGAGACTTGTTTACCGCTGTAGTAACCTGTGCAATTTTAGCCTACTAGGTCGACTTAACATCGCGGTATATAGATTACCGACGGCCTAGTGTTACCACTCTAGTCTGGAGGTTTTCCCTTCTGCTTCCGGTGGATTCGTCGTTGCGCTGTTGTTGGGGATCACTTGGGTATAGCTAACCTCTTTTAAAAATTTTTTTTTTCGGCTTCTTATACGGCTCTCTGGCCCAATGGGTGTCGTGCGGTTTCACTGCTGCGTCTCGCAGGTATGTGTTGGTGAGTGCGATGGATGTCTTTGGCGTGGAGCTTAGTATTGGGGGGCTCGAGATTGGCCCGAATGGTAGCTTCGGCGAGCCAATCAATTTATGGGAGGTCTCGGCTACTGGTATTCAAGTGGCCCGCCTTAGATGTGGTAGTGTCTGATGTGCGACAGTAGTGGGTTAGGGATTAACCTGTCAAAATTATTCAATTGGTATTAGTGGATGCGCAGGCTCCACTAGGTAGTGTCGAGCGCAACAAGAGAGCGCGCGATACTGCTGTTTCACTAGTTGTAAGTTCTTGTTTTTTTTCCTTCGTGCTTTACCGAGTTTTCGGGTGATATTGCTGCTCTTTTACTAATATTTAAGTTTTTTTTTCGGGCGTTTCGGCAAGTTGTACGCTATTTTGCTGTTCTGGTGGAAGTCCGCGTGTCGATCGGTGTTCACCTCTGACGAAGGAACGGGGGAGTGTGACGGTTTCATATTTCAATGGTAAAATTTAGCATTTTTAAAGTGAGAGTGCTGGCACATTTGCGAAGTAACGGGTTTATTTTATTAGTACCTTGTAGAATTAATTGTACTGTCCATTTCCTTCACCTTTTGCTGTTTGGCGAGTGCTTCTTAACAATTAAAATTCTTGTTTAATAGGTTCATATCGATTTTGCAATTTGAACACACGTTCTTTTGTAGACTCGGTTCCTTTAGTTTCGGACTTGTACTCCCCGGCCGATTGTGTTGCCGAACCATAAATATTTTATGCTGCAACGGCTGTGTGCGTGGCCCCTTGTTCGCTTGGTTTTCTCTTAAGTGACACCGCTTTACTGAGAGATACTAATGCAAAAAACAGAGTATTAGTTGCGCATTAGAAGGAGTCATAACCATTACCATCTGTCACTCTATGAGACTAGGGACCGCATTTGCTTTTCATTGCTTCGGTATTCCTTGGCGAGCCTGGTAAACATTGTTTTGTTTCTTAACCTATTCTTCCTCGATTTTCTGTGACTGGCCGTCCGGTCGCCACCATAGATAGCGTTAGGGTAATTCGATCTCGTTGACGCAACCTCGATTCTTTGGCACGGGCCATACGGCCATCACCACAGATATAGTTCGGTTGTTCTTTCTACTGGCGGCGTACCGTCGACTAGGTTGGCAAGAGTGGCGTTTTCCCTCTAATTTTTTGTGCCCGTTTAGCCTTTTAATAAAACTAGTTGTCTGAATCGTCCGGCATTTTGTACGCTAGCTTTTGAAGCTTGGGGTTGTGGCAGATTTTCTTTTGTGTGACCGATTTCTTTTTGAGCCGGTAGTGCTACCCCAATAAGAGGGGGATATGTAAATTGGTCACTAATTTATGATTTCCCATACTTTTGGATCTATTTGGAGTTTGGAATGGGAATCTTCCTCAACGAGGGATTTTGAAAAGAATTGTCATTGCCCCATATTTCCAGAAAACCCTCGAATCGAGTATTGTACGTATTGTTGCTCCGTTTCCCGCAAACCTTCCGCGTGGTTTCTTCTTTCACCGGAATACCAGACCAGACTTGGTGTCTTGCAGTGTATGCTGTCTCTTGGGTACATGTTTAGTTGTGGAGTTTCCCCTATCGAGCAGCCGGCTTTCCGGACGGACTTTGCTGGGTTAAGTGAGACTGCCCACCTGCGGCTGTCTCATTGAGCCACCATTCCATCTTGGCTTGGTTCCCGGGATAGTGACAGACAGCTGTGTAACGTTCGGGACATCTTGAGGTTTGGGTAGCTTAAGTGGCCTGTTCTCTTCAAGAACGGTTTGCGGAACTTATAGCCTTAAATTATAGTGTCTTTTGCACCGCCTTGAAGGTGAGATTTGACACTCACACCTACCACCAGGTTGAAGGAAATAAATTATTGTTCGTGATTCACTTGTTTATTTCCTTTACGGGTTGGAACCTCGGGTTGATAAGTCTACCTTTTTCGAATCACGTGGCGCCTACCTACCACCTTCCGGGACTGACCGAGGTGCCCTTCACCGCCTTCCAACCTGGCTTTGGTTTAGTATATATATATATATATATATATATATATATATATATATATATATATATATATATATATATATATATATATATATATATATATATATATTTTCTTTTCTTCTTTATTAATTTTTCTCGGTTGTTAATGAGCTAGCCTAGGCATTGTCTTACCTCACTATTAAATTACGAATTTAATTAATTAATGCGTTTCTTTTTCACGACCCTGAGATGGAGAGGTAAGAAAGGCTAAATTTGTTTGAAAGTCGAAATATGTCTGGTGATGTGCCATTTGAAATATAAGGGCATTATATTGTTATAAATTTATGCACTCAATCCCCATATTTGACAAAATTTTCTTGGCTGAGCTGCTAATTACAAAAATTATATTTCAAGCAAAACAATGGCCGTTTGCAGTAGGTAGGTTTCGAACCTACGCTGCCATGGAGAATCTGATTTCTACTCAGACGCCTTAACCGACAGACCAAGGCTAAATCTGTTTGAAAGTCAAAATATTTCTGGTATATAAAACCATTATATTTTTATAAATTTGTGCACTCAACCCTATATTTGAGATAAATTTCTGAGCTGAGCTGTTAATTAAAAAATATATATTTTAAGCAAAACAATGACCGGTTGCAGTAATTAGGTTTCGAACTTACTCTGCCATAGAGAATCTGATTTCTAGTCAGACGCCTTAACCGACAGACCAAGGCTTAATCTGTTTGAAAGTCGAACTATTTCTGGTGATATGCCATGCGTTGAAATATAAGGCCATTTTTTTTTAAATTTATGTAGTCAATCCCCATATTTGAGAAAAATTTTTGGGCTGAGCTGTTAATTAAAAAATATATATTTCAAGCAAAACAATGGCCGTTTGCAATAGGTAGGTTTCTAACCTATGCAGATAGGGAATCTGATTTCTAGTCAGATGCTTTAACCGACAGACCAAAGCTAAATCTGTTTGAAAGTCGAACTATTTCTGGTGAAGTGGTATGCGTTGAAATATAAGTAAATTATATTTTTATAAATTTATGTACTGAATCCCCATATTTATGAAAAATTTCTGGGCTGAGCTGTTAATCAAAAATTATAAATTTGAAGCAAAACAATGGCCGTTTGCAGTAGGTAGGTTTCGAACCTACGCTGCCATAGAGAATCTGATTTCTAGTCAGACGCCTTAACCGAGAGACCAGGGCTAAATCTGTTTGGAAGTAGAACTATTTCTGGTGATGTGCCATTTGAAATATAAGGGCATTACATTGTTATAAATTTATGCACTCAATCCCGATAAATGACAAAATTTTCTTGGCTGAGCTGCTAATTACAAAAATTATATTTCACGCAAAACAATGGTCGTTTGCAGCAGGTAGGTTTCGAACCTACGTTGCCATAGAGAGTCTGATTTCTAGTCAGACGCCTTAACCGACAGACCAGGGCTAAATCTGTTTGAAAGTAGAACTATTTCGAGTGATGTGCCATTTGAAATATAAGGGCAATATATTATTTTAAATTTATGAACTCAATCCCGATAATTGACAAAATTTTCTGGGATAAGCTGCTATTTACGAAAATTATATTTCAAGCAAAACAATGGTCGTTTGCAGTAGGTAGGTTTCGAATCTACGCTGCCGTGGAGAATCTGATTTCTGGTCAGCCGCCTTAACCGACAGGCCACGGCTAAATCTGTTTGGAAGTAAAACTATTTCTGGTCTTGTGACATTTGAAATATAAGGCCATTACATTGTTATAAATTTATGCACTCAATCCCGATAATTGACAAAATTTTCTTGGCTGAGCTGCTAATTACAAAAATTATATTTCAAGCAAAACAATGGTCGTCTGCAGCAGGTAGGTTTCGAACCTACGCTGCCATAGAGAATCTGATTTCTAGTCAGACGCCTTAACCGACAGACCAAATCTAAATTTGTTTGAAAGTGGAACTATTTCTGGTGATGTGCCATGCGTTGAAATATAAGTCCATTATATTTTTATAAATTTATGTACTCAATCCCCATATTTGAGAAAAATTTCTGGGCTGAGCTGTTAATTAAAAAATATATATTTTAAGCAAAACAATGACCGTTTGCAGTAGGTAGGTTTCGAACCTACGCTGCCATAGGGAATTTAATTTCTAGTCAGACGCCTTAACCGACACACCAAGGCTAAATCTGTTTGAAAGTCGAAATATTTTTGGTACATAAAACCATTATATTTTTATAAATTTATGCACTCAGCACTGCAGCTCAGCTGTTAATTAAAAAATATTTATTTTAAGCAAAACAATGGCCGTCTGCAGTAGGTAGGTTTCGAACTTACGCTGCCATAGAGAATCTGATTTCTAGTCAGACGCCTTAACCGACAGACCAAGGCCAAATTTGTTTGAAAGTCGAAATATGTCTGGTGATGTGCCATTTGAAATATAAGGGCATTATATTGTTATAAATTTATGCACTCAATCCCCATATTTGACAAAATTTTCTTGGCTGAGCTGCTAATTACAAAAATTATATTTCAAGCAAAACAATGGTCGTCTGCAGTAGGTAGGTTTCGAACCTACGCTGCCATAGAGAATCTGATTTCTAGTCAGACGCCTTAACCGACAGACCAAATCTAAATTTGTTTGAAAGTGGAACTATTTCTGGTGATGTGCCATGCGTTGAAATATAAGTTCATTATATTTTTATAAATTTATGTACTCAATCCCCATATTTGAGAAAAATTTCTGGGCTGAGCTGTTAATTAAAAAATATATATTTTAAGCAAAACAATGACCGTTTGCAGTAGGTAGGTTTCGAACCTACGCTGCCATAGAGAATTTAATTTCTAGTCAGACGCCTTAACCGACACACCAAGGCTAAATCTGTTTGAAAGTCGAAATATTTTTGGTACATAAAACCATTATATTTTTATAAATTTATGCACTCAGCACTGCAGCTCAGCTGTTAATTAAAAAATATTTATTTTAAGCAAAACAATGGCCGTCTGCAGTAGGTAGGTTTCGAACTTACGCTGCCATAGAGAATCTGATTTCTAGTCAGACGCCTTAACCGACAGACCAAGGCCAAATTTGTTTGAAAGTCGAAATATGTCTGGTGATGTGCCATTTGAAATATAAGGGCATTATATTGTTATAAATTTATGCACTCAATCCCCATATTTGACAAAATTTTCTTGGCTGAGCTGCTAATTACAAAAATTATATTTCAAGCAAAACAATGGTCGTTTGCAGCAGGTAGGTTTTGAACCTACGCTGCCATGGAGAATCTGATTTCTAGTCAGACGCCTTAACCGACAGACCAAGGCTAAATCTGTTTGAATGTCAAAATATTTCTGGTATATAAAACCATTATATTTTTATAACTTTATGCACGCAACCCTATATTTGAGAAAAATTTCTGAGCTGAGCTGTTAATTAAAAAATATATATTTCAAGCAAAACAATGGCCGTTTGCTGTAGGTAGGTTTCGAACCTACGCTGCCATGTAGAATCTGATTTCTAGACAGACGCCTTAACCGTCAGACCAAGGCTAAATCTGTTTGAAAGTCGAACTATTTCTGGTGATGTGCCATTTGAAATATAAGAGAATTATATTGTCATAAATTTTTGTACTCAATCCCCATAATTGACAAAATTTTCTTGGCTGAGCTGCTAATTACAAAAATTATATTTCAAGCAAAACAATGGTCGTTTGCAGCAGGAACCTACGCTGCAATGGAGAATCTGATTTCTAATCAGACGCCTTAACTGGCAGACCAAGGCTAAATCTGTTTGAAAGTCAAAATATTTCTAGTATATAAAACCATTATATTTTTATAAATTTATGCACTCAACCCTATATTTGAGATAAATTTCTGAGCTGAGCTGTTAATTAAAAAATATATATTTTAAGCAAAACAATGACCATTACTAAATATTTCCGGGCTTTTGAGCCGTGGTCCCGAGATTAAACTCGACGTTTCGTCTACAACTGCGGTAGACATTTTCAAGAGCGGCGATGCGGTAAAGGTCGAAGTGTTCTTCTGTACTGCTCTCCGATGACTGGTTGGTTGACTGGAAGATCTGCCGTATTTAAGCGCGCTGTAGTGGGCGTGACCTCGGTGGCGGGCTTGGGTTGAGCTTGTCTGGGTAAACACGTTGTTTTGTTGATGACCTGAGTTTTTGAATTTCAATAGCTTCTCTGATAAAACGTGGATAAAAATGTGGTGTTTTGTCCAGTACCTGCGTGTCTTTGAACATGATACGATGGTCACCTTTGTAAAAAGCATGTTCTGCCACTGCTGATTTTTCCGTGTGTCCAAGCCGGCAGTTCCTTTTATGTTCCTTTAGCCTAGTTTCAATGCTTCTCTTTGTGGTACCTATATATACCGAGCCACAGGAACACGGAATGCGGTATATCCCTGGTGAAGAAAAGGCGTCCCTTGTATCCTTGGCAGACCTGAGGCTTTGTCTGATTGTAGTCGTTGGTTTAAAGATGACCCGAACGTTGTGTCGTTCTAAATGTTTACCGATCCTGTCTGTGACGTTCTTAATAAAAGGAAATGATACATTCCCTTGAGGTTCCTTTGTCGTATCTCTTGTCTTAGATTTTCTATTTTTCATAGCTTTTTGTATTTCAGAGGTGGTATATCCGTTATTTTTCAGGGAATCGGTCAAGTGAATAATTTCTTCACGTAGGTACTTGGGTTCGCTAATCCGATTTGCCCTTGTCATTAAGGTTTTTATTACCCCCATTTTCTGTCTCGGATGGTGATTAGATAATTTGTTCAGGTAACGTTCCGTGTGAGTGGGTTTTCGATAAACTTTATGACCCAATTTTCCATTTGGTCGCCTTTCTACCTGCACATCTAAGAATGCCAACCTGCCGTCCTTTTCTGTCTCCATGGTAAATTTTATTTTATTGTTAATGGAATTGAGATGCGCCAAGAAGATTTGAAGCTCCTTTTCGCCGTGGCTCCATATTACAAATGTGTCGTCCACGTAGCGGAACCAACACTTGGGCTTCTTTTGGGCAGTATTTAATGCCTGCTGTTCAAACTTTTCCATGAAAAAATTTGCTATGACCGGGCTTAATGGGCTTCCCATGGCTACACCGTCAACTTGTTCATAAAACTCCTTGTTCCATTGGAAATAAGTGGTGGTTAAGCAGTGTTGGAAAAGTTCTGTGACATCGTTCCGAAAACGTGCAGATATTAAATCCAAAGTCTCTTTGACTGGCACCATAGTGAACAAAGAAACAACATCGAAGCTCACTAATATGTCTTTGGGTGACAATGTGATGTTTTTGATCTTCTGTATAAACTGAGTCGAGTCCTTGATGTGTGATGCTGTCCTCCCTATGAGTGGTTCAAGTAGTTTGGTTAGATGCTTGGCGAGATGGTAAGTCGGGGAACCTATAGCGCTAACTATGGGTCTCAAGGGTACTGCCTCTTTATGGATTTTTGGCAATCCGTATAATCTTGGTGGTAATGCCTCCAAATTGCTTAGTTTTCGCTGGATTTCTGGTTCGATAGATGACTTCTTGATTAACGTATTTGTTTTCTTTAGGATGCGGTAGGTTGGGTCCTGTTGCAACTTTTTGTATGTTTTGGGGTCTAGCAGATCACCAATTTTCTTTTCGTAGTCTACGGTATTTAGTACTACAGTCGCGTTCCCCTTGTCAGCTGGAAGGACTATAACGCTTATGTCTTTATTGAGGTCTCTAATTGCTCTCTTTTCCTTCGATGAGACATTACTCTTCGGTGGCTTCGCCCGGCGTAAAATTCTGGCACTTTCTGTGCGAATTTCCTTTGCGACATCTGCTTGCAGGTTACGAATTCCTGATTCGATGTTTGCAATGATGTCTTCAAATGGTACAGAGTCCGGTGTGATTGCGAAATTCCCGCCTTTCGAGAGGATGCTCGTTTCTTCTGCTGATAATTTCCGCTGAGACAGGTTTACCACAGTCCTTGACAAATCAGTGCTGGGAGATTCACTTGACTTAGTTAGAAGGTCATTGAATTTCTTAATTTGTCTCCTGGTTGCAGAATCCCTTGTCGCTTCCATTGTTCCACAAGAAAGTCTATCTATTTTGTCCCAGTCCTCGTTATGCATGGAATTTGCTAATTTTAGATTCAGGGTTAGCAAGTTGTTATCTAAGTTGGCCATGCTGTGTCTCGTATGATGGACTCTTTCCCGCAAAAAGGCTTTTTCCATCCGATTATAAATTCTGTTGGCTTGTGGTGACTTGAGTGTTCTTTTCATTTTTAGAAATTTTGGTGTTAGATCAGCTGCTTTACAACGACATAAAAAGGCGAGCGAACATAAGAGTTGACAAAAAGCTATGAAAAATAGAAGATCTAAGACAAGAGATACGACAAAGGAACCTCAAGGGAATGTATCATTTCCTTTTATTAAGAACGTCACAGACAGGATCGGTAAACATTTAGAACGACACAACGTTCGGGTCATCTTTAAACCAACGACTACAATCAGACAAAGCCTCAGGTCTGCCAAGGATACAAGGGACGCCTTTTCTTCACCAGGGATATACCGCATTCCGTGTTCCTGTGGCTCGGTATATATAGGTACCATAAAGAGAAGCATTGAAACTAGGCTAAAGGAAAATAAAAGGAACTGCCGGCTTGGACACACGAAAAAATCAGCAGTGGCAGAACATGCTTTTTACAAAGGTGACCATCGTATCATGTTCAAAGACACGCAGGTACTGGACAAAACACCACATTTTTATCCACGTCTTATCAGAGAAGCTATTGAAATTCAAAAACATCAGAATAATTTCAATAGAAAAGAAGAAGGTCTCAATATCAGTAAAACATGGACTCAGGTCATCAACAAAACAACGTGTTTACCCAGACAAGCTCAACCCAAGCCCGCCACCGAGGTCACGCCCACTACAGCGCGCTTAAATACGGCAGATCTTCCAGTCAACCAACCAGTCATCGGAGAGCAGTACGGAAGAACACTTCGACCGTTACCGCATCGCCGCTCTTGAAAATGTCTACCGCAGTTGTAGACGAAACGTCGAGTTTAATCTCGGGACCACGGCTCAAAAGCCCGGAAATATTTAGTAATGTAGTTTCTGGCCGTGAAAGCATAACATCTTTGATAAAACAATGACCGTTTGCAGTAGGTAGGTTTCGACCTTACGCTGCCATAGAGAATCTGATTTATAGTCAGACGCCTTAACCGACAGACCAAGGCTTAATCTGTTTGAAAGTCGAACTATTTCTGGTGATATGCCATGCGTTGAAATATAAGGCCATTTTTTTTTAAATTGATGTAGTCAATCCCCATATTTGAGAAAAATTTTTGGGCTGAGCTGTTAATTAAAAAATATATATTTCAAGCAAAACAATGGCCGTTTGCAGTAGGTAGGTTTCGAACCTATGCTGATAGAGAATCTGATTTCTACTCAGACGCCTTAACCGACAGACCAAAGCTAAATCTGTTTGAAAGTCGAACTATTTCTGGTGATGTGGTATGCGTTGGAATGTAAGTAAATTATATTTTTATAAATTTATGTACTCAATCCCCCTATTTAAGAAAAATTTGTGGGCTGAGCTGTTAATTAAAAATTATAAATTTGAAGCAAAACAATGGTCGTTTGCAGTAGGTAGGTTTCGAATCTACGCTGCCGTGGAGAATCTGATTTCTAGTCAGACGCCTTAACCGACAGACCAATGCTAAATTTGTTTGAAAGTCGAACTATTTCTGGTGATGTGCCATGCGTTGAAATATAAGTCCATTATATTTTTATAAATTTATGTATTCAATCACCCTATTTGAGAAAAATTTCTGGGCTGAGCTGTTAATTAAAAAATATATATTTCAAGCAAAACAATGGCCGTTTGCAGTAGGTAGGTTCCGAACCTACGCTGCCATGGAGAATCTGATTTCTAGTCAGAAGCCTTAACCGACAGACCAATGCTAAATCTGTTTGAAAGTCGAACTATTTCTGGTGATGTGCCATGCGTTGAAATATAAGTCCATTATATTTTTATAAATTTATGTACTCAATCAACCTATTTGAGAAAAATATCTGGGCTGAGCTGTTAATTAAAAAATATATATTTCAAGCAAAACAATGGCCGTTTGCAGTAGGTAGGTTTCGAACCTACGCTGCCATGGAGAATCTGATTTCTAGTCAGACGCCTTAACCGACAGACCAATGCTAAATCTGTTTGAAAGTCGAAATATGTCTGGTGATGTGCCATTTGAAATATAAGGACATTATATTGTTATAAATTTATGCACTCAATCCCCATATTTGACAAAATTTTCTTGGCTGAGCTGCTAATTACAAAAATTATATTTCAAGCAAAACAATGGTCGTTTGCAGCAGGTAGGTTTCGAACCTACGCTGCCATGGAGAATCTGTTTTCTAGTCGGACGCCTTAACCGACAGACCAAGGCTAAATCTGTTTGAATGTCAAAATATTTCTGGTATATAAAACCATTATATTTTTATAACTTTATGCACGCAACCCTATATTTGAGAAAAATTTCTGAGCTGAGCTGTTAATTAAAAAATATATATTTTAAGCAAAACAATGACCGTTTGCAGCAGGTAGGTTTCGAACTTACGCTGCCATAGAAAATCTGATTTCAGGTCAGACGCCTTAACCGACAGACCAAGGCTTTATCTGTTTGAAAGTCGAACTATTTCTGGTGATGTGCCATGCGTTGAAATATAAGTACATTATTTTTTTATAAATTTATGTACTCAATCCCCATATTTGAGAAAAATTTCTGGGCTGAGCTGTTAATTAAAAAATATATATTTCAAGCAAAACAATGGCCGTTTGCAGTAGGTAGGTTTCGAACCTACGCTGCCATGTAGAATCTGATTTCTAGAGAGACGCCTTAACCGACAGACCAAGGCTAAATCTGTTTGAAAGTCGAACTATTTCTGGTGATGTGCCATTTGAAATATAAGAGAATTATATTGTTATAAATTTATGCACTCATTCCCCATAATTGACAAAATTTTCTTGGCTGAGCTGCAAATTACAAAAATTATATTTCAAGCAAAACAATGGTCGTTTGCAGCAGGTAGGGTTCGAACCTACGCTGCAATGGAGAATTTGATTTCTAGTCAGACGCCTTAACCGGCAGACCAAGATTAAATCTGTTTGAAAGTCAAAATATTTCTGGTATACAAAACCATTATATTTTTATAAATTTATGCACTCAACCCTATATTTGAGATAAATTTCCGAGCTGAGCTGTTAATTAAAAAATATATATTTTAAGCAAAACAATGACCGTTTGCAGTAGGTAGGTATCGAACTTACGCTGCCATAGAGAATCTGATTTCTAGTCAGACGACTTAACCGACAGACCAATGCTTAATCTGTTTGAAAGTCGAACTATTTCTGGTGATATGCCATGCGTTGAAATATAAGGCCATTTTTTTTAAGCTTATGTAGTCAATCCCCATATTTGAGAAAAATTTTTGGGCTGAGCTCTTAATTAAAAAATAAATATTTCAAGCAAAACAATGGCCGCTTGCAGTACGTAGGTTTCGAACCTATGCTGATAGATAATCTGATTTCTAGTCAGACGCCTTAACCGACAGACCAAAGCTAAATCTGTTTGAAAGTCGAACTATTTCTGGTGATGTGTTATGCGTTGAAATATAAGTCCATTATATTTTTATAAATTTATGTACTCAATCACCCTATTTAAGAAAAATTTCTGGGCTGAGCTGTTAATTAAAAATTATAAATTTGAAGCAAAACAATGGCCGTTTGCAGTAGGTAGGTTTCGAACCTACGCTGCCATAGAGAATCTGATTTCTAGTCAGACGCCTAAACCGACAGACCAGGGCTAAATCTGTTTGGAAGTAAAACTATTTCTGGTGATGTGCCGTTTGAAATATAAGGGCATTACATTGTTATAAATTTATGCACTCAATCCCGATAATTGACAAAATTTTCTTGGCTGAGCTGCTAATTACAAAAATTATATTCCAAGCAAAACAATGGTCGTCTGCAGCATGTAGGTTTCGAACCTACGCTGCCATAGAGAATCTGATTTCTATTTAGATGCCTTAACCGACAGACCAGGGCTAAATCTGTTTGAAAGTAGAACTATTTCGAGTGACGTGCCATTTGAAATATAAGGGCATTATATTATTTTAAATTTATTAACTCAATCCCCATAATTGACAAAATTTTCTGGGATATGCTGCTATTTACGAAAATTATATTTCAAGCAAAACAATGGTCGTTTGCAGTAGGTAGGTTTTGAACCTACACTGCCATAGAGAATCTGATTTCTAGTCAGGCGCCTTAACCGACAGACCAGGGCTAAATCTGTTTGAAAGTAGAACTATTTCTGGTGATGTGCCATTTGAAATATAAGGGCATTTTATTGTTATAAATTTATGCACTCAATCCCCATTATTGACCACATTTTTTGGGCTGAGCTGCTAATTACAAAAATTATATTTCAAGCAAAACAAATTTTCGTTTGCAGTAGGTAGGTTTCGAATCTACGCTGCCATGGAGAATCTGATTTCTAACCAGACGCCTTAACCGACAGACCAAGGCTTAATCTGTTTGAAAGTCGAACTATTTCTTTTGATATGCCATGCGTTGAAATATAAGGCCATTTTTTTTTAAATTTATATATTCAATCCCCATATTTAAGAAAAATTTCTGGGCTGAGCTGTTAATTAAAAATTATAAATTTGAAGCAAAACAATGGCCGTTTGCAGTAGGTAGTTTTCGAACCTACGCTGCCATAGGGAATCTGATTTCTAGTCAGACGCCTTAACCGAGAGACCAGGGCTAAATCTGTTTGGAAGTAGAACTATTTCTGGTGATGTGCTATTTGAAATATCATTACATTGTTATAAATTTATGCACTCAATCCCGATAATTGACAAAATTTTCTTGGCTGAGCTGCTAATTACAAAAATTATATTTCACGCAAAACAATGGTCGTTTGCAGCAGGTAGGTTTCGAACCTACGCTGCCATAGAGAATATGATTTCTAGTCAGACGCCTTAACCGACAGACCAGGGCTAAATCTGTTTGAAAGTAGAACTATTTAGAGTGATGTGCCATTTGAAATATAAGGGCAATATATTATTTTAAATTTATGAACTCAATCCGCATAATTGACAAAATTTTCTGGGA